TCATTCCTGGCTAGCCAAAGGGTAATGCTGAATCCCGATTTGTGCGCGAGTCCCCAAGAAAGTTCGCCGAATTGTTTTCTGGATCTGCGAAGCTTGCAAATTCAATTCATATCTACTCTGAGCCCTTTCCTTACTAATTTGAATAGGAGCTGAAGGATGAAAAGGATCCCTCTTCCCCTATTGGTTCTCATAGGAGCCATAGGATCCCCTAAATTCGTTTCGAGGACTTTTGATTACAGAGGCTACCCTTTTTGTTCGGGGTGGGGGGAGGGGCCACACCAATCGGGCTCCAGCATTAAGTTCGTACAGCCCCTATGTAGACCCAATTTCCCCTATGTAGACCCAATTTCCATTTCATGTTCCGTGTTCTCTTCCATTTGATTCTGCGCTTCGTGTTTCATCCTTGCTAACCCCTTTATAACATCTATGTAGTGCCTGTCTGCACAGAGGGTTTGCGAAAATCTCATGGCCAGGGGATAACGCAGGAACACCGGCGACGAAACCCCGCGCCCTGAATCCAAAACCCAAAAACCCTAAACGGCTTAAAGTCACTACATTCCATGAAAGACATTTATAACCATAAGCCCTGAGCGGCAGACATTTTGAAAGATCTAAACATTAAACTCTGAAAAGAAACGTGTAAGCTCCAAACTGAACCCAACTGCTCGGCTTTGTCGCCACAGGGCACCTGGCGTTGAACATGCACACGTGCGTTTCTTGGGATCCCCAAGCGAGAGCACGCTGAGTGTTTTTTCTCGCGGCAGCTGCTGGGAAGCGTGGCAAACTTCGCGGGTTGTCCTGAGACCATCTTGCGCCACACCCATTGAAACACTCTGCCGGGAGCACGCCCCCTTAGACGTAGAAGCAACGGGCACTCCAGACCATCCAGCGAGAGTTTGTGCTGTTGACGCGAAGTAGGCACGCATTGCAGCCATTGCGAATGCATGGGGGGCACCCTGATGAGGTCACTTCAAAGTCAATCTCTTTGCGTCAGTTGCGGAACTGAAGGTGTGGAAATCTTAAGTAAGTTTGCACTCTACACGAACGGCCCTCGCCGACGTGGCTTAAAGGCTCTCTGACACAAGGCGCCTGGTAGCGACATGAGCAGCTACTCGGGGCGGGGGGCTTCGTAAGTATGCTGATAACTCCCACGGATACTGCCCCATTTAGACTAGACTTCTTTATCCCCCTGACCCTCAATTGCCCTAAACCCTCAGCCCCATTATTGCCCGACCTTTTGGGTCTCCCTGACCCACCAAGTGGTAGTTTCCCAAGATAGGGGGGGCCCCAATATAGACCCCAAAATATCGTAATCCTTAGTATGGGGACTCCCAAAATGGTACCCGTAATGTAGGGAGACCCTCCAAGTACAGCCCAGGAGCACGGGCGTGTCGGTCCAGAGGTACAGCTCGCCCAAGAAGCCCTCCAGCTCGGAGGCACTGATGGTACCTTAGATTTAGATTAGGAGGACCCTCACCCTGTAATAGTGACTATAACGGATAGTAGTAACTATATTTCGGTCCTCTCATATTCCTATTATACCACTATTACAGGGTGGGGGGGTCCTTCTAAGATTTAGGGCTCTAAAGCCTCAACTCTATACAAATTGTGTAGAGCGTCGACCAGATCTTGTGGGAATTTAGCTTTTGCAGTTTGCCCTAAACAATTTGTATCTAAGTTTGAGGGGCCGTGTTTCCTGATCGCTGGGCCGAAGTAAGATGAAGTCCCTTGCGTAGGATACTGCCACCACGAGGGTCGATCTTTATCTATCCTGGAAACCACTGTGCCCTTATTCCAGATATTACCCATATGTCTGTCTGCGGTGGGAAAGGGTTTTCTCAAATCAATGGGGATCCGGAAAACTCCTGGAAATATCGAGATTACTAGGGGATTTGGGACCCACAGAGAGGATCATTGAAGCGATGTTCCCAGAAACGTTCCATGTATTTCGTTCAATTTTGCTTACAAGCTGACTCAGCCAAGGAACCCGTGTTGCAAGCAAGACACCCTCAATGCCCCTACTTTCATAATTCCCTGGAACTCAAATCTAGGTAAAATAATGGCCCGGGACCCCCACCACATTGGCAAACATAAAACCATGCCCTAACCCTAAACCCTAAACCCAAGCCTATTCTACATATGTTGTGTGTGCAGGCAGGCTTCTATGATAAGTCGGTGTCACACTTATACATGGCAAACTTGTTGTCAAGCTTCCACTCTCCCCCCCCCCAAGGGGTCCATCTAGCTATATAGTATGTACATGTACATACTTGGGTTCGAATAGAATTCTATGGGAGTCCAACTGGGCCCTAAATATGTATAAAAAATTATTACATACCTGCATGGACCCTTTGGGCTCTGTTCTCAATGAAATTGAAGCTTCTGAAAGCCCAGGGAGTCGCCACGGGCTTGCAAAAAAATAGGGCTTCCGAAAATGATGGCTCCCTTCAGAGGGTCCCCATAATCACGATTATAGTGTGCTGCTGGGAGTCACATAATAGAGGGATACCCCAGTTATGGGAAACCATGAAATTTCCTAAGAGGAGTGTGCCTTACAATCGAAGGCCCAGTGCCAGAATTCCGAATGCAAAAAACAGAAACAAGTTGGACAACCATTGCCTGGAACCCAAAAGTAGGCAACACAATGGCCATAAAACAACAATAGAGGCTGTTATTCTACATACCTTTGGAGATTTTATAAAGGCATGTTCGCCCCACCCATGCCACTGCATGGCCATGTGTCTCAGAGAAACTACTCACTGAGATATGTACATGTGTATATATATATACATATATTAGCATACCCCAGAAAACATGACTCCAAAGAAGTATGGAACGCAGAAAGGAACCGAACCCTAAACCCTGAACCGCAGTATGACAACTCTACAGGCCTGCCTGGCATGCTTCCTCCATGGTGTCGTATGATCCCACAGGCTTTACATCCCACAGACCCATGGTTCCCAATTCCCTAATGAGCCCCTCAAGCCATAAGCCTACACCCCAAACTCTCCATTTTGGCCATGTACCGCTGCGATCGACATCTGCCTTATCGAAAAGCGAGATCACCTGTTGGGCTTCGATCGGCACTGCTACGTCCTTGCCGACCGTCTGGGTGGTTGTCAAACAAAATTATGGTCCCCTTTTGGGTACCCTAAATATTAGGTGCCGTACTATAGTGGGGAGCCAGAAAGGGACCATACTGCTGACAACCACCCATCTGACATATCATGATAAGACAACAAGACTGACTATAAAATACTCCAAATTCCTTTGAGGCTTCTCTAATAATCTAGTTCCCACTTGCACAATCACCTGACCAGCATCCATGAAGCCCACATGCTCCTAAGGATCCGCCTGTGTCATGCAGACTTCTGGGCTCCATGCCTTATCACGTCATAGACTGCGACCCGAAAGGTTACCGAGATGAACACAAGGGTTCCCGCAGAATCCTTGGGGTTATATTGGGGTAATGGAAAATAAAATGGAAACTACTATAGTATATTGGGGTCATATTGGGGTAATGGAAACTAAAATGGACACTACTATAGAAGATCCCATGGAACGCCCTCCCCCCCCGCCCAACAAGGTCCGATGCTCTCAACTGAAACTGAACTTATGCTTACGTGTCCTATGCCCTCGGTAACGGGGTTGCAGAGGTTGTGTGAGGTTGGGAGTTTAGGCTTTGGGTTTATGCGTGCTCTGACTGCCCACATGAAGCAAACGCATCTTCTCCTCAAATTAGTCACTAGCTCTGCCATATCTGCATTACCTAAACCCCAAAAGTATGTAAAATAATGGCCCTAAGCCCATAATAACAGCAATAAGCGCCATTATTTTATATACTTTCGGGATCCAGGTAACGCCTCTCCTGACAAAATCCGCAGATCCTGTTTCAGCACCCTCAAGGGAGCAGCGCCTTGTGCTCCAACAAGATCTCTTAGGACGTCCCCAGCCCACTCATGGCGGTAGTAAAGAAGGAATATATGGGGGTTTCCCAAAATTAGGGGTACCATTTAAGGGGTCCTATTCTATGAGGACTATAGTATTTTGGGGTCTGTATTGGGTCCCCCTATTTGGGAAACTACCATATACAGGACCCTAACATAATCACCGTTATTGTTTGTTATCACTCTCATCGGGGTGAGATATCGCATCTTGACACCTGACCTCTTCCACCAGCTCGGCACAAAAATCGTTCGACAGGTGATCACGCAGGGCGCTGCTGCAAACGGCCGCCATAGCGCTTGCGCAATCTCCGTTCTCGAGATTTTAGGGTTTATCCAGGGCTCATTATAGCTTCGGCTTTAAAACGTTGATGGGGTTGTGTACATGGTCCTTCTCCGCACATGAAACATAGACTTGAATGACTTGAGCTGTCTTCTCCAGTAAGGACATTGCAAACGCGCCAGAAACTCATGGAATTGGCATCACTATCGTCTCAAAACTTGTCAACTTTCAAAAGCTAAGGTTTCAAGCTTGAGGGTTAAGGCCCGAATCCAACACCTTGTGAGAGGTTCATGTAACCTGCGCTATTGTCGCTTTGGGATTTGCACATCACTCTGAAGGCTTCTTCGTTTTGCCGTATTTCCAAACATGGCTCGCCTCTGTGCACACCCCAAACTACAAGAATCCTCACTACCTAAACCCCAAAAATTTGTCAATAATAGCCCTAAACACCTAAAAGCAGCCAACACTGCAATAATTCTACACATACTTTAGAGGTCCAGATATAGGAACCACCCAAACACTAATGGGATCCCGAGTTGTCGGAAACTCCACATTCCTTGGGCGCGTTACTCATCCCAACATCGATGTAGCTTCAAATGAGCCTTTCGAACTCTGAATAAATGAGGGTGCAAGCATATGAACTATGGTGACTACTGGAAAAACATATACACACTGCTTAGAGGTTCCGATCCGCACACCCTGGACCATAAAGCGTGAATTATCAACCCTCTCCTTGAACCCTTTTCGTTTTTTTTTTCCCCCGCTCCGGCAGGTCACCCTGCGCAAAGTGCCTCCTCGATGCGGCCTGCGAAACAAGGAAGACAGGCTCGAGGAGTCTTCAGGACGCAGGGTTTATGGGTTTGTTTCCGCGTTGACGCATTTAGGGCTTAAGGACGGGCTCGGAAGTTTAGGATAGGGGTAGTGTAGGGTCCGTTTTAATGTTTCAAGCCTTCCTCTGGACAGGCTTTCTGATTTCATTGAGGCCTCTATGGGAGCACATATGTGGATTTCAATATAGCGGCCGCCAAAACCTGAAAAACGAACCCCAACATATTGTCAGTTTTTTTGTAGGGACTCCTAAGGACCCAAATCCCCATGAATTAGATTATTGAGAAGCTTCTCACACAACTTGGTTGCAACCATGCTCGCTACAACTTTAACCTACAGATTAAGATTAACAGTTTTACAGAAGCTTATTGTAAGGTAGAACTCCCCAAATGGCAGGTGTGCAATTACAGTAGTGGCTTTCCATGATATCCAGATGACGAGAACTAGAAATCGGGATCTCCCAAAATAAGTGGGACCTTTTGGGGGGGGTCCCTGTAAAAGGATTATATAATAGTTGGGCGTCTATATCGAGATCCCTGAGTTTACGGAAACTGCCAATTAAGTGGTTCTAGATTCCTGCAGCTGCGCCAAGGCAGGATTTAAAGAGCTCCTACCCTAGAGTTTGGGTCTTATATGCACCCCTTCACCAGGAAGGCCTAACTACGCACCCTCACTAAAGCACTACGTAACCCGAATGGTAGATCCCAATCGCCAAGCCTTGTTAAGTCCTAACCCTCTGCTTCCCATATCCTAAGCCAAGCCCATGCCTCGAAACCCCAAACCCTGAACTCCAAACCCTAAACCTGACGCCCTAAACCTAAACAACCGTTAGCAAGCCCGAAACCCTACATTCTAAGCCTTAATCCTGCAGTCTAGGCTCAACCCTCAAGATTAACCCTGAGCATATAATACAGGCCGAGCGTTCTAATAATAACAATAATAACCAATATATACCCTGTATAACACCCTACCAACCCTAAATCCTATATAGCCCATTCTAGCAGTTTCCATTCTCTTGTCCTCTATATATATATATGCTCACCCCCC